TTTAGATTATGGAACACTGTGAATATTAGAAACAAACAAACAAAAAAAACATCTGAATTGTTCATTTAAAATTGCTGAAGTGCAACTGGGCATAGTGTAGCACACCTGTAAAGTGACTCTGGAGGCTAAGGGAGGAGCATCACAAGTTCAAGACCAGCCTCAGCAACTCAGCAAGACTCTAAGCAACTCTGTAAGATCCTATCTCAAAATAAAAAATAAAACGGGCTGGGGATGTGGCTCAGTGGTTAAGTGCCCCTGGGTGACACCAAAAAAAGATATAAATACAGACAGGGAATAAAGTGTGGTGGCACATGTCTATAATCCCAGATACCTGAGAGAGTAGAACTGAGGTTATCCTGGGCAACTCAGTGAGACCCTGTTTCAAAGTGAAAAAAACAAAAACAAAAAACAAAAAAAAAACCAAACAAGGTTGGGGATGTAGCTCAGTAGTAAAGTGCCCCTAGGTTCAATTCCCAGTACCAGAGAAAAAAAGAAAAGAAATATATCAGGGAGTTTTGTAGAGGTTTTTTTGTTGGTTTTGGTACCGGGGATTGAACCCAAAGGCGCTTTACCACTGAGCCACATCCCCAGCCCTTTTAAAATTTTGAGACAAGGTTTGGCTAATTTACAATCCTCCTTTCTCTGCCACTGAGTTGCTGGAGTTAAAGGTGTGTGACATCATGCCCAATGACAGGGAGCTTTTAAGGAGCCCACAGTTTGGTGGGGCAGAGTGACATTAAAATAATCAATGCTGGATAAGGTGACATATGCCTATAATCCTAGAGACTCCGAAAGGTGAGGCAGGAGGATCTCAAGTTCAAGGTCAGGCTTGGTAATTTAGGGAGATCCTGTCTCAAAATAAAAAGGGAAGGAAGAGAGCAGGAGTAGAGTCAGGAAAGGGGAAGGAGAGGTACTGGGGTTCTGAATTAGAACAAGATATATTTCATGCTTGCATGATTATGTCAAAATGAATTCTACTGTCATGTATAACTAAAAAGAACCAATAAAAAATTAAATGAAAGGGGTGGGGAGGGGCTGGGGTTGTAGCTCAGTGGTGGAGCACTTGCCTCGAATGAGTGAGGCCTTGGGTTCAATCCTCAGCACCACATAAAAATAAATAAATAAAGATATTGTGTCCATCTACAACTAAAAAAATTTTTTAATAAAGTATGGGAGGCGGAGGTGGGGATGCATCTCAGCTCAGTGGTAAAATGCCCCTGGGATCAATCCCTAGTAACACAAAATGAACAAAACACATCAATCACAGCCTAACTATTTCAGTGTCACCATAGTGATAGAAACAGATACTGGGTTTAAAAAAAAAAACAAGTAATATTCCTGGGTTTACAGACAAAGATTACTAACTTTAAGTGATTAATTCTTTTGCCACTATAAGTACTCCCACATGAAAATAACCTAAATACCTGGGAATACTATTAATTATACACGGGACTTCTGGGATGAAAGAAGCTAATAAAGATAATTTTCCTAAGGGTAGACTCCCTGGTATTATGGGGAAAAAAAATAAAAGTTCTTTTCCTTTTCTAGGCAGGCCTAAGTTTCCCCTATATGTTCAAGATTTACTCTTTACAGATGGACTTACTAGCACTTCCTAGCTCCCTACTTTCTTCAGCAGGGAACTGATTCATGTGGGACACAGAGGATTCCTCAAAGGAGTATTTATGAGGTCACTGACCTAGAAGGCACAATTGGATCTCTGTCTGATGGAGTTACAGTCTCTTGAGAATCTGTAGTGGCAGCCCAAGGCAGTGCAGATAGGTCTGGGGTGATGCGGGAGGACTGATATGAGCCAGAGAGAGAAAAATCTCTCAGGACTAGATTCCAATCAAGTTCTCAAATGCCCTTTCTGCTGCTGATGCACAGATATTTCTCCAAACTATGTACTACTTTTTTTAAAAAAATATTCTTTTTAGTTGTATATGGACACAATACCTTTATTTATATATTTTTACATGGTGCTGGTGATCGAACCTAGTGCTTCACATGTGCTAGGCAAGCACTCCACAATTGAGCTACAACCCCAGCTCCTGTTCTATTATTCTTTACTCATTTTTTTCATTTCATGAATAGTGGTCACCCCTAGCAACTACAAATGTGAAAAAATAATATAATGAAGATTGAAACAAAGGAAAATCCAAATAACTTGAAAGGAAAAAAATTATATTCACCACCTGCAAATTCAACATGTCCAAAAATCACACTCTCCCAAATCAGTTCCTTTTCCAACTTCCTCTTTTGGACAAAATACTTCTTTTTTTTCATACTCAGGTTTAAAACTTTGGGAACACTCTGGGCCCTTTCTTTTAAGCCTCAAAACTGGTTTGACCTCAAATTTCAGATTCTTCCTTCAACATCTCTCACTCCATTCACATAGGCTGTTTTTTTCTCCCAGTACTGGGAACTGAACCCAGATTCTCATGCAAGCCTGGCAAGCACTCTACCATTGACATCTCCAGCCCTTTCTAACTTTGTTCTGAGACGGGGGTCTTGCACTAAATTTCTCAGGCTGGCCTCAAACTTGTGATCTGCCTCCCAAGTAGTTGTGATTATAGGCATGGACCACCACACATGGCTACATAAAGCAATTTTTATTGTTTATATACTTATATTAGTTCTAGGAGATACTGGTGGTAGAGAAGGGTATTATTTGGAGATGTGCACAGACACAGCTACTAAACAACTCTCCTAATAAGTAGATGAGTGGTTGAGAAAAAAGTATTATAAAGATTTGGAAGTGTGAGATATCTGGGGGGTGGCCACTCAATCTAGACTTTGACTCCAACATCTAACTTGGATCAGTAGTAGTGGAGGGTAATGGGAATGATAGCACTCAGGGGATAAGGTGGATGCTGGGAACTAAAGGTCCAAGAAAGCAATGGTGAAAATGAAGATTTACTTCAAGTGGTGGCAGCTTCTGAACACCTTCAGGAGAGGTCCTAACTCTTGGGCTTCCAGGTCATTTCCCTTCCCTTGTTTGCTCCTTCTTTATAACTGACACCTACTTTCACCAGAAACTTCCCTAGGGGCAAAACAAATTTGATGGCATCTGCATTTGTGATCATGAGTGTTCCTTCTGCATTTATAATTTGTTGGAGGCTGCTGCCACAAATGGCTGAACAGGAAGCTGGCTGGTCCCTTTAGCACTAACAGAGATTGACACAGGCTGGAGGATCAGAAAGCAAAAACTGTCAACCTTCCACAACCCTAACTATGGTTGTGATCTAAGATGGAGATACTAACTTAATCCTTTCCAAATTTGCTTTCATTTTATGTCTCTGCTTGCTTAAGGATCTACAATGATTCTATTACCTACAATAGTCTATTCAAATCCTTTGGCCTAGAAGCCAAGGTTATGCATAATCCAACCCCATCAAATCTTTTCAATTTCATCAATTACTACTTTTCTATAACAACCTTCTTTTTTTTTTTAGAAGACTAAATTACAAAATGTCTACTATTACAGAGAGAGATAGATGAGCCAAGTTAAAGTAGGAAACATTTTAGGCCATTTTTTAAGGCATAAATAAAATTATGTTACAAAAATATTTTTAAGAACTTAGCTGTCAGCTGGACATGGTGGCGCACACCTGTAATCTCAGCAGCTCAGGAGGCTGAGGCAGGAGGATTGCAAATTCAAAGCCTTTCTCAGCAACTTAGCAAGGCCCTAAGTGACTCAGAGAGATCCTGTCTCAAAATAAAATATAAAAAAGGGCTAGAAATATGGCTTAGTGGTTAAGCACCTCTGAGTTAATCCCAGGTACAAAAAAACAAAACAAAACAAAAAAAACCTGAGCTCTCTTTTCAAAGCGTTCTGAATCAAAAATTATTGTTTTCAGAATGTATAAATTTGAAAGAAAAGTTACAGATAACAATAATTTTCTTTTTTTGTGTGTGTGTGGTGCTAGGGATTGAACCCAGGGCCTTGTGCATGTGAGGCAGGACTCTACCAACTGAGCTATATCCCCAGCCCAACAATAATGTTCCTTATCTTGGTAGTGGATGAGATTGTTTTAGCTACAAACAGTGAATATATACTTTGAATATGTAGTTCATTGGATATAAACATTATACCAAAAGAAATCCTAAACAAATCCTAGTCAATGATATGCCAAAATAGGAGACAAGCATACTGATACTCACAATTTAAATGAATGGATAGGTACATGATAAAACAAATTACAGAAAAATGTTAATGGCAGGATCTAGGTGGTGATGAGGTGTTTTTTATAAAATTCTTCAGACTTTGCTGAATGTTAGAAAATTTTCATAATAAAACATTGGAAAAATGACATTGACAACACACTGTACATATTAATTGTAAGCCCTGATAACACACTATACTTTCTAAAGTTGTAATATGATAAGCTTAGTGGCAGCACCAGGCATTTGTCCACTGATGCTTCCAAAGCAACCTGCACAAACCTCTTAGAGCATGGTTGTCTCTTCAACCACATTATATGTTCTTGGTCGTCACAGATCTAATCTCATTTGTTTTGTGCCATATTTGGAGACTAATATGTGTTCAATAATAGTGAAATGACTTGAATGAAAATTAATATTGCAAATTATCAGTGTTATGTTCCTAGCAGATTCATTATTCATTTCTCACCCTAAAAGTTAATCTGTTCAATTTGCAAGAGAAACATATCCTTTACTTTTCCCCAAGCATGCAAAAACCTCCCAAAATAAATACTTTTTAAAATCTTATCTGTACTCATTTTGTATGCTATTAAACTTGAAAGTGAAGGCCTAACATTCGATAATGTTTTAGGTTTGCCCCCCCCCCCTTAAAAGAGCTAAGTCAGAATTCCAAAGTGGCCTGGAATTTGTTTTGTTCAAATTTTGGAGTGTTAAACTAAGAGATTCCTCAATACTGGTCAAAAGTAGAAAACTAGAGATCTGGGAAGAAAATAAACGACACAAAAAAGTCGTGAAACAAATTAATTGAGAACTCTTAAGGCACGGAATAAAGCCTTATCTCCAATTCCCCGGAGACTGGCTCCTCTTCTCCTCCTCCCTCGGATTACAGCCAGTCAGAGAGGGGCCACTGACCACTCCCAGGATGCCTCGCGAAAGGAGCGGATGCCTCTGAACATCCATCTCCCCACGTCAACATCACACAGCACCGTCTCGTGGCGCGAGCACCTGGTTCCGATATGGAGAGGAGTTCGAGTCCTAGCTCCCCCTCCTACCTGGTCGGTAGCCCTGCGCAAGTCTCCTTCCCTCGCTGGGCCTGTTTCCTTACTTGTGAAATGTAATTATTCTCTATCACTGACTACAGGGCGATGAGGAATGTACAGGCGCTCTAAGATGCAACTAACTCTACTTGTTATGGCTTTCAAGCTCGCGATGCTCACCAAGTAGCCCAAGACCAATCTCTCAAAGTCACCTCTGTCCCTCACTCCCTTCCCGCCCCGCGCTGGTGCTGAGGCCGCTCCCTCTAGTCGGCCATGTGGAAGCCACGCGTCGCTGCCAGCCGTACCTGCAGCCACCTGGTCAGCGGGGCCCTCCTGCTGACCCATGACGAAGTCTTGCACGAGGCCCCACAGGGCGCCCGTAGGCGCCGCCGCCTCCAGAGCGGCGGCGGCAGCCATGACGCGTACCCGAGACGGTGGGTGGGGAAGTAGGAGGTGGTAAAAGAGAGATCTTTCGCGCACGCGCCTTCTGAGCCAATTGCTGGGCGAAGGCCGAGGGGGCGGGGCGCTCTCTGAATCACGTGCCTGCCGGCTCCGGGCCAGGCAGTTCCAGGGAGGGACGAGACTGCCCCTCCCCGAGGGGCGGGGCCTGAGGTCGGGGCGGTGGCGCGGAGAGGGGAGGAGCCTGCTGGGCACGCAGCCGGGGGCCATTGAGGGCGAATAATTCCCGGCCGGACTCCCCGGGAGACCGGCGGAGGGGCGGGTACCTGGCTGGGTGGGGCCGGGGGGCGGTGCGCACTCTGGGGGAAGCCAATGAGAAAATCAGGCCCGGCCCGAGGGGCGGTGCCGTCAGTCACATGCGCACCTGGGGCGAGTGGCGGC